TTGTGTGGCATTGCTGAGCCTTGTGCTCTAACGTTTTCTGAAGCCTCGTGTGACTCTGGAGGCCGTGTGCCGTGCGCTGGAGTCCGATGCGCCGGTGGATGTGCCTGCCGCTGGGCTTCGGAGAAGCGACAATTTCGGATCAGGGTGTGAGAGTCATTCGGAATCTCCAAGGGCTTTAGGGTTTCTATAGCGGTGTTATAAAGGCTCTACCAAAGGAGCAGCAGTATGTTTTACAGGACGTATGTAGGGTTGAGCAGGGTTTACGTAGGGTTTTTGGGCTTGTCAAGCTTTAGGGTTGGACCCATTGCTCTAGTGATAGGTGACTGCGGAATGCTCTCTCGGTACAAGAGGTTTAAGGTTTAGGGGTTTGCATCTACGAGACCCTGAAACCTTCAAACCTCAACCACTATCAGCCCTTATCCTGTTCTTGCTCATCATTCACCATCTGAGTTTTCAGCAATCGTCGTCCTAGGAGCAGTGCTGTTTTGTTAAGAAGAGGTCGGAACCATTGTCTCGAGGCCGAAGCCCTAAACACTCGATCCTGCAGCCTCAATGCCATGTTACAAGCCACTTGTTTCATTTTTCTCATAGTTATGAACCCATAACTTTGGGTTTTTGGTCTCATATGTTTAGGGCCTAGGCGTTCTCAGTATCTTGGGGGGGGGGGCTTGTCTTGATGTACAAGAAGGAGTTGGGGGCAAAGCATCCACTGTTCTGTTTGCACACGGGAAGTATGTCTGTTGTTTTGTGGGAGCGCGTGCATTTTATGTTAAGGTATGGTGTTACGATGCGCATGATTTCATGAATTCTACGAAGCTCTCTTCAGGATTGGGTGGAGACCAGTGCGGAGGCATGCAAGCCACGGCCTTACGCGTGCGTCAGGTTTTTGCTTGCTTTGCTGGTCCATGATGTCGAGATCGAAAGGATTTGGTGTGTTGTCTTCCGGATTTGCAAACCTTAATTCCTGTACCCCTAAGCCTCTAAATCCAGCCCTTAACGTCTAAATCCCAAACCCCGAAGCCAATACCTCAGACACTAAAACCCGCAACCCTGAACCCTCAACTCTAGTCGTGGTGATATAGAAGCGAATAACTAGATTAGGATCCCGGTGCGTGTCTATGCTAGAGCCAGTAAATCAGGAAGCAAATTCCAACAAGTCCAACAACAATAACAACAATACTGGTAACACTAGTACTCGTAATAGCAATTACAGTTATCAGACTAAGAATAAACACAATAATGATGATCATAACCCAAAAAAGTACTGGTAGCAACAGTTACAGTAATCATACCAAAGAATAATGCAGACTCTGCTTGAATCCTTGTTCCTTGACGAGGGTTTACCGCCCTTTCGGATTTTCTGTCATGGGTCTACATTACCTTTGCAGAACTCCCTATATTACGCGGTTCGGGATCAAGCTCATGCTTTAGGGTTTATGTCAAGCCCGGGGCTGAATACTTAGCTTCTTCGAGGGTCAAAATGCGAGTTTAAGGTTCGGTGCACTTCAAAAGTGCCAAGATCCTCTGCGCACTATAGGAGTCTGAATCATTCGTAATCGTCCTCCGAAGGATTTGTGATTAGGTTGACTAGACTTGCAGCATAAAGCTGCCCCGAACACCCCAACCGGCCATTCAGGCCCGTTTATTAGATCGGAATGATGGAAGTCTGTGGCTGACCTTAAGTAGTTCCACCGAAGTAGCGCAAAGTGGCCTTATGGTAGAGTTTGCATGAGTTTGCGGCTTAGGGCTTAGGGCTCTGGGGGACGAACGGCTTAGCGGCCCAATTCTTGGCTTGAATCGCTTAGGGTTTAGCGTTTAGGGTATAAAGGCGTGCATTGAGCAACTCTAGCACCCGATTTTTGCCAAAGACCTGAGCCCACAAAGCCCAAAAGGCTAAAGCTTGAAAGTCCTACATCCTGGAATTTCCACCAGACTTTCAATTGCCCTGGGCCTCACAACCCAGAATCTCCGAACCCTACAACCCCAAGCCCCAAACCACGAAAGCTGTTCGAGACGACCTTTTTGTGGGTTCTTTCGTTGCCATCCTGGGAACCCCAAGCCCACACTGTCAAGCGAAAGAGCGTATATTCACAAGGTTTAGGGTTTAAGGTTTAGGGTTTAGGGTTTAAGGTGTGCAACGGGGTTTAAGGTTTAGGGTTTAGGGTTTGAGGTTGTTAAGGTTTCAAGTTTCATCCCGAGGCCCTAAATCGTCGCTGGGTTGCGATGCCAAGAAACAAGTCGAAGCCCCAAAACCTAGGTCCTAAAGCACTAAGCCCTTCAAGAGTAAGCTTCAAACCCTAGCTCTCAAGCCCTTACAGAAAACCCTACATTCTAAATCGTAAAGGCCAAGCCCCACCCCGAGTCCCACACCCTTAACCCCAGCCCTTAACCCCGAAGTCTCAAATCCTACAGCTTGAATCTTACATCCTTGGCGCAAAACCGTTGAGCCTGAGGTCCTGACACACACAGTCGGCTCTTTAGCCTGCTGAGCACTAGCTTCCGCGGTCCAAGATTCAGTGCTTAAAGGGTCTAAGGACTGTAGGCGACAGGTCGTAGATACTGCTACGGTTTCAGGGTCTAGGTTTTGGGGTCCAGGATGTGTGGGTGTTTATTGAATGGTATCCAAAGCTCTGAGCGAGGCCCTCGGAAGATGTCTCTACTGTAGCAGTTCCACGGAGCAGCGAGCACCCTGGGGTAGAAGCTTGCGCAAGACGGAGCCAGCTGCATGTGACGTGACCACATCCTCTCCGGCTGCATCATGACGAGGTTGCAGCTAGCAGAAAGCCTTCACTCGAAAGATACACCTTCAGCCTTAGTAAGATCCTTCATCCACCTGAAGGTACATTGGGCCTTTTCGGAATGGGTGCACGGGGATCCGGGTTTAGGTTGCAGTTTTGCATCGCTGTCCTTGAGCCAAACCGTTCAGAAGTTAGGGTTAATGTATACGTACACTGCTGGATAGGCCAGGACGGGAAGCACTGTGTTCCTTTTCCCACTATCCACAACGAGACCAGCGTCTCGACTTTCTGGCGTGTGCTGCTTTCAAGTCTGTCCTGTGTTTGTTTTTCCAGGGCCCCTTGAACCGTGAGGCCCATGACCGAATCCCCAACTCCATCCGCAGCAGGAGCTATGCAAATTGCGGGTCCATGGAGTTTTGGGACTGGAACTTGGGTTTAGGCTTTGGCAAGACTAGAGCAGCAACAATCGTCATATAGAGTTTAGTGTCAACAACAATTGCATCGTACACAATCGCAAGAGCAAAGGCAGATGTCGTAGGCTGCAGGACCCGGATGATGAGGAGAGGTGGGTCGTTGAGGTAGCAGTTTCGCGCCGTCGGTCGAGTTTCTCCTGTCCGCGGGTGGTGCAGACATGTCTCGAACACAGGCAACATCCTTTTAACTTCAAAAGCATTAAACTATAAGTAACCGTAGACCCCAAGCCAGCCCAAAAAAGCCAATACCTTCAACCCTCAAGGAGAGAGACGTGTGACTGCTCCCGCGGGATGCTTTTGCTGCTCTCATTCGTAGGAGATGGGAGTTTCTCAAACTTCGCAGCGCCTTTTCAGTAGTCCTCTTCGCACTTAGGGCTCGGTGGTCTGTTCGTTTTGGTGCTGCGTTTGAGAAGCTCCCGAATCAAAGCCTTCCGCGCAAGTGTCGGAGGCTGATGTTCATAGCTTGATGATGGCGTTGCAAAACGTTCGTGCAGGTTTTGGACTACAAGCCCTAATGTCAGAGCCCTTCTGTCCTCCTACAGCCGGGCTGCTCGGACGTGATTCAGAACTACAGCTGTTGTGTATGGTTAGCATGCCACTACATCGGCGGACAAAGGTTTTAACCTACAGTTATGGCATTCTTGTCTGAAGACTTCATGGGGAGTAGCGGGGTAGCCAGAGGCTCGAATCACGTGGCCTGGCCAGCACAGTATTTACCTCAGTTTTTTATACCGCCGTTCAAAAATTACATTATGTTAATGTTCTGGAGGAGGGGTCCTGCTTGTTAGGATTCTGCGGGGGAAGTGTGGCCTCTGTTCGACGAAATTGCGAGTAGGTCAAACTTCCGTCCTACCACAGTATGATGCCATTATCCGCAATCCGTAGACCGTAAAACCTGTCTGAAAGCTGAGCCCTCAGCCCAAACCCCAAACAAAACAACCAACAATTTCCTAAGCCCTAAGCTCGAAAGATCCCAAATCCTAATCCTCTAGTTTTCAAGAAGAAGCCCACCTCCAAAACCCCCCAAACCCTGAACCCTCAGAGCCCCTAAACCCGAGCTCGCCGAAGCCCTCGTTCCGCCGGGTCTTGGCCCTGAAAGTTTTTCGGAATCCCTGCTGTCTTACGCAGAACTCAGGCCCCGTGGGCACCCAGGGTTTTTGAAGGCGTTTCGGCTTGCTTTGCTTTGTTGATGATTCTTGCGTGGTTATCCGTATGGATATAGAGATATTCTAGTTTCTTCGGTGTCACTCAGGTTTCAGGGCTCAGCCGTCCAGGGAGTCAAGCTTAAGGGTTTGAGGTTCAGGGTTCAGGGGTTTATTTAGTGTGCAGGATTCAGTGTTTCGGCGTCGGGCTTCATGATCGTATCAGTTGTGATGGTATCTACCATGCTAGTGATACAGTGATACACCAAAGTTGCAAGGTTACGGGTACCTGAGACGCAAAAGCACCGCGAGCCGGCAACAGAGATGGCAGCAGCAAAGAACAGCAATGACGACAATAGTGATGCTTATGTTTATTCGAAGTGATGTTACTCGAGATCGAGCCCCGAAAGCAGAACAAGACCAGAGCCAGTATTCGGTCCGCGACGGAACACAATTGCGGCTGAATCCTCCAGTTTGATACAAATGAGCTCCAGAAAGACCCTCCACCCCATACGGGCACCAAACCCGAAACCACTAATTACATGAGGAACCAGGAGCCTGAAACCTTCAAGCCGAAGCGCGAAGCCCGCAACCCTAAGCCGAAGCCACCTTCAGGTCTTCAGATCTGTCGCCAAGCAAATCCTGCCATGACAGGCCAAGCTCCGGTGCCAGAGAAGGTTTCTAAAAATGGGGGACCCTAATATAAACAGAAAACCCAGGCCCCATGACAGCCCGCTCTCAATATAAAATCCTACATAGTAGGATCCTTATTATAAGCACCCCCAAATAATGTACCCCTAATTTTCGGAAACTCCCAAAGAGGCATCACTTTTAGGAGGAAATCATGATGAGGAGCCTTGAGAAGGCAAGTTGTACCCGTTTCAGGTAGCTCCTGAAACCCAAACCCGAACCCTGAGCAGTAAACCCTGAACCTACTAGGTATTCCGACTGTAGCAGGAAGGAAAAGGGCCCTCAAAAAAAAAAAAAAAACCCTGAACCATAAACCCTATGCCCTCAGGGTTTCGAAAATTAAGCAAGGGGGGCTGAGGCTTATGATCTTGGGTTTAGGGTTCCATCTGGGGTCCGAACTCCTTTGCTGAGTTCGTAGGCCGTGGCGACTGAAAGGACTAGGGGGTTTTTGAGGAAGGTTGCGAATTGTAGGTGGGACCCAACTGGGACTCTTCAGGTAAACCTAAACTGACCCTACCTACTCAGCACCTGCATCCTAGCTCTAGACCGCCTCAACCCTAGATCCTAGCGATATCATACAATACTGCCAAAGACGGGCTTTGATCCCGATCTTTGCCTAAAGCCTAAACCGGGAACACCAAAGCATAAGACCCGAAACTCCTAAAGCTCCTAACCCGACAACCACAAACCCTACACCCCAGACCCCTAAACCCATACCCTAACCTCCTAAAGCGCTACATCCTGAGTAAACCCCCACACCCTAAGCCCCCTAGATTGCTAACCCAGAGCCTTCGACGCAAATCTAGCGACAGGCTTCGACATGGCCGCCAAGGAGGACGCTCCCCGCTTTTCCCAGTCCTCGGCTGAGCGAGTCGAAAAAGGCTTAAGTGCCCTGAGACTTAGAGGTCGTTATCCCGTTCTCTCCTTTGTAAAATTGCATTCAGGATAGAGGTCTGAAGAGCTCATAGATGTTGAGTTTCATAGGAACATCATCCCGTTATGGTGCCGTTCAAGTGATATTTAACACCCTGTATAGAGATCTGAGCTTCGTAGTAGCATTATTAAACATTATCCCGTTATGGTGATATAAAAAGCATGTGTAAAAACCCTGAGCCCAAGCTCGACGTTTGACAGCTGAAGCGTGAAGAACCGTGCGCTCCCACATTGGGCTTAGGGTTGAGTTTAGGCGTTTAGGGGTTCAGGGGTTCAGGGTTTTAGGGGTTTAGGGTTTAGGGTCTAGGTTTGGGACAGCCTGGGGATGAGATCAAGGGTAGGGCCGGGGAAAGAAGCCACCAATGCAGGAATATGTCTTGCCACAAGTGGAGCCGTCCTACTGACCAGGTTTCTCAGAGAATGATCATCTGACAGTGAGCGGGAATCCCTTACCTGCTGCGGTAAACCCTGAAGCCGAGGCCCTGAAGCACAAACTCTAAGCCATCAGCCCTACATTCTCATGAACCCGAGTTTGGTCATAACGATGCGTGGTGTTGCTGGTGATGGAAATGGTGGTGTTGGCGTCTGATCGAATTTGTCGCAGCCAGTCAAACACTTGGGGCACGGTATAGTGGTTTCGGGGATTCAGCTCTGTGCCTGTGTGTGTCAGACAGCGAGTTGAACGGATGGCCACCACGATAAGAGTTGTTTCTTCTGTGTCTTTCATTTATCCTGTCGTCCCCCCCCGAGATTCATCAAGGCCTTTGCTTTCAACAGATGTTGCAAGATCCTTCTCCCCTGAACCATGTTATATGCTTCGTCTCGGTGGCTCGCAAGCACTTTGGGCAATTGCTAGGTTGTGAAGGTTCTGTCGCCGCGGTCGTCTCTGATTCATTTGACACCGTGATGGGGGCCGGCAGCAGCTGTAAGAAGGCAGATGCCACGCGCTGTCTCGTTCCAGTGCCGCCGCACGATCCCATCCGCCCAACTCGTGCCACGCACATGTTGTATGTCCAGGAGCTTGAGGCTTACCTCATCAATGTGGCCACCTATCCAGATGCCTTTCAGAAGAAGGTGGAGAAGCGTCGAGATCAACCTCTGGACTAGTAACGTACAGGCCGAGAAGAGGACGGACAGAAGCTGCTACAGCCAGAGTGCCGAGCGTGGAGATCGGTGGGGTAATTTCGGTGTTGCGAAAGCATCCGACTCACGGCCGCCACGCAGGCCAGAAATATTTTTCGTGTCATTTTGAAATGAGTTCACTTGATATATTGCAGGAATGAAGCGCGTGGCGCTAGTTCCCGGAAGTCCGGACGAGGAAATGGGAGTTTCCGAAAATAGGGGACCCTAAGATAGTACCCCAAAAAGTAGGATCCTTACTATAAGTATCCCAAATTAAGGTACCCCTAATTTTCGGAAACTCCCAAATCAGAGCCTCAGCTCTTGACTGTCTGGCACAGTGCATTTCTCCTTCAGCAGCATTCTGCTTGAGCGCGTGACGCAGGGTTCATGTATGGGCTTTTTAGGGGTTCGGGTGAGCGTATACGGGGCTCCTTCGGAATGTTGGTGATCGTATATGTTGAGTGATGTTTTGGGGATGCCAGAAACGAAAACCTACTTCACATGCACCAGCTCGCTTTTCCTGGACCTGTCTACTGTAGGAACCCACTTAAGAAGCACCAGGCTGTTATTGGAGTTCACTATCGCCTTTCGTGAAGTCGCCTTTCTTTGCCCCTGAGGGGTTTCGGGGTTCCTACATTGCGGTCCTCGAGCCCTTGACTTGCTATCGGCTTTTTCTGCCTAAAGGGTTTTTCAACGAGACGTCAAGTTGATTTTCCTATGCAGGTCTTCCACTATGAGCTAAGATGAGGAATTCTACCTTGGTCATTTTCGGTGTCCCTATTGATCACAAGTGGGTTTCCCTGGTGAATGTATCATATTGGAAGACCTGGGTAGCACGGGAGCCATACTGCTGATGGAGAAAATCCTGCATGACCCTAAGGACTCTAAGCTATGGGAACTATGGTATATTCCTTATAATGGGTAATGCAGGATGTTGTCCATCAACAGTAGCAGCCGGTAGCTCTCCGGTTGCCAGCTCTTGGCAAAGCCAGGTGCACACCTGTCTGCGGTCTGCACTTACTATAGGGGCCTTAGTCTTGGGGCCCATTACACCACAATTACAATAAGGAACCCCAAAGTAGTATTGGTAATTATTTGGGCCCCTATATTAGTCCTTCAGCTTGGAGTATTGTTCATGTCAAGATCCGCACGGAGAGGCGGTCCCCACTCAGCGAGTCCTTCAGCAATTCTAACAAGCTCCCAAGGTTCAGGTGCGGCAGCCGCCATGAGGACTCCCTTCCTGTTGCCATGAAGGACTCGCAGTGGACTTCTTGGTGCCCCGTAGATTTGAATTCTATGGGTCAAAAAGCGTCCGAATAGCTGCCCACTGGAGTTCCAGCACCCTGACTCCACCCAAAGCCCCTTATACATCATGTGTTCGTCGAAAGGTTCGATGTAGTTCATGGCAAACCCTTTCAAGCCCCAAACCCTGCAACCTGCGCCCTGCACCCTTCTCCATGAAGAGTGCCTGTAACACCCTTCAAAATCGTCGCACCCTTAGAAAGCTTGCTTCTCTGGCCTGGGCGCTACAGGCTTCGAGAGCGCAATGCAACCTGACAAGTGGTGATTCCATCCTAAACCCGAAACCCTAAACTCCAAGCTGATGTATAGAAACGCCCGTAGCTCCAGGCTTCCGTATTCATCCTGACAAAGACTCTTGGTGCAAGGTCTGAGCGTATATACAGGATCTACCCCGTTCAATCCCTATATCCTTGTCTTCTTAATACAAAACCCTGCTCCAAAAAGCCCATGTTCGATTTACAAAGCTGCTACGCGTTAGGGTCGCAGGCAGGAGGAGGCTCACTCGACTGCCCGTGTGCGCAGCCTTGAAACACCGAGACCCCTAAGTCGACTTTATCTAAGCTAGGGGTCGGAATGTTCATTAGTAATAGTAGTCCCTTGTGTAGTTCCGTAGCTAGTTTAGCCACTTTTCTAGCCAACGGGAGAGCTTTGACTATTCTGGTCTTATAGATTTCGATCCATGATAGGAAGCTTGAACTTTTTTAGGCCCGGCTACCGGAGTAGTAGTCCCTTTCAGTCCCCGTAGAATTCCGGCATAATATACCCTATACTACAACCTTCCCCAAGACAGTTTCTGCAGTCTCGCGTCATGTCTGGCTTCGGGCATCGTGTGGGAATGGACCCTAACCCTCAATCGCAGGATTTTATAGCTAGTGAGCTCACAACCCTCTCCCCCCCCGCCCCCACTTTGGCAAGACCCACAATTCGTGAAATGTCCCTATAATTGAAGGTACATTTCCCCCATGGAGGTGTATTGCGCCTGCTGGGACCAGCCAAACAGAGCACCCTCCCCCAGTGCAGAATGCCTTTGATACAGAAGCTTAACTGATCTGATTAGTAAATCTTGTTAGAGTTCGCATTCAACTTCTGGCATATACCCCAAAACCTCGAGTGATACTACTCCCTAAAAGTCCCCATGAAGATTTCGAGTATGCTACAAAATCTTCAAGATCCTGTTCAATTCGTTAAGAGCCCCATGACCTGCCAAAGCTGATCCCAGGTGGCGCAAGGTGACGGCTTTGGCCGGAGTCGCATTGGGCAGCCAAGCTGCATGGGGGAGCTCTTGTAGCTTTTTTGAATAGGCTTCTATGGGTGTTATATGGGAGTTTCCGAAAATACGGGCCCCTAATATAGTACCTTGAATAGTAGGATCCTTGTTATGAAAACCCCAAAATCGGGAAGCTCCCATATGGCTGCATCAGGATTTTTAATGGTGTGTCTTCCCCCTAGAATCGAATCTCCAAACCTGGATCCAACGATTTCAACCCGACAGGCACCTGCCTGCTGGCCCCGCTGGCCGTCTCCTGCGACGTTCGGGGCACAGCGATGTGGGCTTCGGTGCACGTCCTCATCCATCTCTTGTGGGTTCCTTGAGGGAAACTTCTGCTTTTTTTTGGGGTTTCTCGTAGGGTTGATAAACTTATACGGGATGCTGATATCGCGGTATGAACGAGTAGACGGTAGAGCTGTTTGGGTGTATATACTATACTGACTATACTATAAGTACATAGAGGAAACCCTCGGAATAGTATGCCTGAGTATTCAGGCCTCAATACACCACCGCTCCCAAAGCCGAATTTGAAGCACCTCAGCCGCAAAACTTGAACCCGCAAATCCAAGTCGAGTAAGACTATCTCGTCTAGTCTCCATATCAGATATCGTTCATGATCATACTGCAATATTAAGATACTTCGTAATATGCCCCTGCTCCAGTCTACTTGCTAAGACTCTTCAGACTTCTGAGTTCGACAGAAGTGGGGGCATGGGCTTCAGGGTTTAAGGCTCAGGGGTTTAGGGTTTTGGGGGTTTAGGGTTTTAGGGTTTAGGGTTGAGGATTTGGGGCCTACCTCAGGGATGAGAGGAGTTAGTTAGCAAGCAGAGTGCAAGAAGAAGCAGACTATTTGTATCGTTTGGGTTTCGAAGTAGCGAGGATTCGGAGTAGTCTTGCAGGCATGGGCCTCACCGGAGCTGTTGGGGGTTTGGTTGCTCATGACTGGTATTCGCGGTGGGGTTGGGCAACCTAAGCCCTAAACTTTCTAAACCCTGAGACTAAAGCCTAAAGCCTAAAACCTTACCTCCCTAAGCCCTAAGCCGTAAACCCCGAAGCAACCCCTATACCCTCAATTTGTATTTCGAGGGCATGTCCTGAATATGGTTCCATAATTTCGCGAAATTCGAGGAGAATTTGTTTGGGCACGGCGATTGGAAGAAAACCCTAAACCCTAAACCCTAAACCCTAAGCCCTAAGCCCTAAACCCTAAACCCTAAACCCTAACCCCTAAACCCCTAAGCCCTGAACCCTACACCCTAAACCTGGTAGAAAAGGACCATGCTTGCAGGCTCCGAGAGAAGTTGTAGTAAATCTCCTCTCTGCTAGTAGCCACCATGGGGTCGGGCGGAAGCTGTGCCAAAAGCACGGGGCCCGGCAGCTGCCACCAGGCTTTACATAGGGATGGGAGGGTTCAAGGCTCTCTGAGGGTCGAGGGTTGGGGGTTTAGGGTCCAGGGGTTTAGGCTTGGGGGTGTTGTGGTTTAGGATGAAGGTTGCCCAGAAGTGGGCTTCCTTCCTTTTTCTGCTTTCTGGCTCCTTTTTCGGGCTGAGCAGTAGGAAGAAAGGAATTCCTTGGCTTCAGGGGCTTCTGGGGAAGCCCCCAATAAATCCGATAAATCCTACACCAAAATTATTAGCCCAGGTGATATTCCGAAGGACTGGCCGGTACCGCAAAAAACCACTGGCCCAGATCTCTTCACGCATCAGCTGTACGTCGAGGAGACCGCTTCCGTCAGCCCTAAGCGAAGTCTTGAACATAGACATACCTGAAGGTGCAGACCTTGGATCAAACTCTAAGCCCTGAACTCAAGAGCCTTGTACAAGCCCGGATGGGCTACTTGGGTTAGGGTTTAGACTAAGCTTATGTTTGAGGCGCCGTGCGGGATGAGCCCCCCACTCTGACTCTGTTTAGGGCTTGGGTTTCGGATTTCCTAAGTAGCAGAATGATTACACCTCGCAGTTTTGGTGATAATACTATGCTTTGTGGAACTCAAAGTTCAAACTTTTCTTTACCCTATGAAACTCAGCCGCCTAAACCCCAAACCCTAGACCCTTAACCTTAAACCCCAAACCGTACCCTGAACCCAAAGCCCTAAATCCAAACCTTAAACCCTCAAACTGAAACCCCAAGACCCTAAACCCTAAAAGTAAGTCTCCAGGAGCTTGACACCTACCTCCGGAAGGTGGCCAAGAAACCGGAAGCTTTTTGGCTCTCTGAGGGCTCAGGTTTTTGGGCTTTTGGGTTTAGGTTTCAGGGTTTGGGGTTTAGGGTTTGGGCATTAAGTTTTTGGTTTCTGTGCTACCTAACGTGACTACAAGTTCAAGTCTTACGTGGGAGGGCTCGGAAGTCTCTCGAGGTATTCCAGAAGAAGGTGGAGCTGCGACGTGAGACGCGCTGCAGCGAACCTACTGATTGAGCACTACGACGACACCCTTAGCCTTAGCCACATTGCAGCATCATGAACGGATTTGCCGTCTGTTGCTCTATGGCCGACGATGAGTCGCTAATCTTAGCATCTTTGCTTTTCATTTGTATTTAGTGTATGATTAGGACACCGCCGCCGTTCCGGCTTGTGTTTAGATTTTTGAGCTCTGGCCGCAGTCAATCATCAGCACTGGCTGCGATTGCAGAGCTTGACCTCATGGACTTCGCTCACATCCCACGTGTAGAAGAGTTTTGTTGGTGCCATTCTTGGTCAATCTCTAACTGGCTCCTGGGAGTGTGAGAGTATCAATTCATACGTGGTCGTCCTTGAAGATAGGATTATGAAACATGAACCCTGCCCGGTCCATCTCAGGATGCCTGCGAAGCTGTTGCTTCATGCTGAGCTAAGTCCAGCAAGTTCCCCTTCCAATAAACTTGAATAAAGACTCTCGCGGCTTGGGGAATGTCTCTGTACAGCACGACTACTTCCCAGGCCGACCTTTCCGAGCAGTTTACTGCATGGAGTTTCTCCGAGAAGCTCCATGACCCAGCTGAAAGATTCCATGGTTTGAGGTTTAGGGTCTGGTGTTCAGGGCCAAGTTTAGGGCCCCGAAAAACCTCAACCCATGTAAACTGCTCTTCAGGATCAGACCAGGTCTCGGCAGCAGTGCCAGAAAATGCGGAGTGTGGATGTCGCTGCATGGAGTAGTACCGGTGGGTTCTAGGCCTGCATGTAGGACTGCTACTCCCAGCTACTGCTCCTCTTTCTTGTACGACTCTGGCAGTGACAATCAGGCCGATCGTGGGACTCCACCGTGGTGTCAGCACCAATGGTCAGAAACACAGCAAACACGACTCCCAATCCAAGGCTTAAGTCAGCTTTAGGGTAAATGCCCTTCGCCCGAAACTCCCGCAACCACCGCAAAGCAATGAGTAGTAGACTGAAGAGTTTCAGCCGAGCTTGTGTCCCCCGCACACATTTCGATAATTGTCTGAACATTGGTAGTTCGAGGCTATTTGGCAGACGGAAGACATTCCAGCAGTTGCAAACTAAACAAAAAGGGATCCACCCTAAACCCTATAGCCCTAAACCCTGATTATACCTATAGCGCAAAGAGCGCAAGCCTTGAAGAACCAATGGAGGCTCGGAGCAACCCTAAAGGGATGCTCTTTTCAAAACCGCCATTTAAAGTAGCTCCTTCTTGCACGGTATGTACGTACCCTTACATACATATATATATATATATATATATTGTAATCTGTATTAATATAATACTAGAATATATATATATATATATATATATATATATATATATGTTTGTATATACATATATATACACATACACACATACATATATACATATATACATACACATATACATATATATGTATATATATATACATATAAACATACATAAATAAATATATATATATATATATATATATATATATTGGGAGACTTAGCAGCTCCTTTCGAAGCCACAGGCCCGGTCTGGTCTGACAGGAGAGCTGTGTGAGTCGGGAGCTGAGAAATCCGGGGCTCGGGGCTCCTTTGGTTGGGTCTCGGGCTTAGGGCGTAGGGTTTGGGGGTTTAGGGCTTAGGGCATTGAGTTTGAGTCTGAGGTTTAGGGCTCAGGGTTGAGGGTTAAGGGTTGATTAAGGGGACGCTCCGGTTGCAGAATAGGGCCCTCTTCCAGGATACTCTGGGATTCTAAAAAAGGGTCCCCTTAAACCTGCCCGAAAATGCAGCTGTACCCAGACAGCCTAACAAGCTCGTGCAATAACCGGGAGCATTTCGAGGGACTCGCTTTACGCGCCTTGACAACTTGAATAGTGCTTTGGCATGTATTGTACTACAAATAGAATAAGAACCCCCAAGCTCAGTTTTTTGGTTTTGAAGCTCAGATGGTACACCCCTGACCATCACATCTGAAGCTTTCGCAGAACTCAACTTCTTGAACAGGTCTCAATGGTTGCAAGTGCTGAGTAGCCTAACTCCAATGACAAGCTACAAGTCTCCGAAACCCCAAAACCCCACATCCTGAAGCCTAAACTCCCTAACCCTGAACCCTAAACCCCCCAAGCCCCTGATTCTCTTGAGAGCTACAGGCCCGCGCAGACTTCCGCTAATCTGCCCTGGGCTGAGATCTGGTTCAGACAGTTCATGGTTGGGGGTTTGGGGTTTGGCGGTTTCGGGTTTGGGGTTTCAGTAGGTAGCAAACAGAAACACAGACATCGTCCACCTCGGTCAGTAGAAGCAAAACTAGGAGGGAGTGTATGCGTGCTACGTACGGCTGCCCTTCGCAACTCGCATTTCGAAGAACGACACGACTAATAAGCACCGTCAACATCACAAAATACAGAAGCTCTTCACTAAACGCAAAACAGCGACGACATGCATCAGCATCACTATCTTCATGATGATGATGACAATGATGATGACGATGATGACGATGATGACGATGATGATGATGATGGGGATGATGGTGGTGATGATCATGAGAGTGATGACAGTTTTGATGGAGGTCATCATGATGCCTGCTTCCTCCGCTTCTTCGTGCTCCTCATCATCATCGTCATTAACAGCAATATCATCAGCAGCGTCTTCATGACTTTCACTGTCATCCATGGGTATTCAATAAGGAGTAGGGTTGGGTGCCCATATGGCTATCCCAGCCGTCTCTTGTGGGGCTCAATTATGGCTCATGGTCGGAATCGCAAACCCAGCCATCTTAACAACCGCTGCTTCTGTCTGCCAATCACTCATGATTGATGCCGTAAGCTCTAAGACCTAAGCTTTAACCATAAACCCCAAGACCCAAACCCGAAGTCAACCAACCCTTACACCGGAACCCTAAACCCTAAACCTGGGAAGAAGAGCGTCCTGAGGCGCGGCCGCCGCCTCTATGCGCCCTGTCTGCCCATCACTCCGTGGTGTACTCTTAGCTGAGATCCCTCCAGACCTTAGCTTCTGAAGGGCTCCAAAATTTCAAGGCTTACGGTTGCCCTAAACCCTAAGCCCTCTCTGCCGCAAAGACCTCGTTGACCGTAGAAGTTCCACAACATTGGTCCGCCAATGTTGTGGGACTTTTTCGGTCGTTCCGTTGGCCCGAGGGTTTGGGCTTTAGGGTTTCGGGCCTGGGGCCTTAGGGTTTAGGGCCTAGAAGGTTTGGGCTTTAGGCTTTAGGGCCTAGGATTTGAGCTTTAGGGCCTTGGGTTTGCAGGGTTTGGGCTTTCGGGTTTAAGGACTAGGGTTTTGGGCTTTAGGGTCTAGGGCCGTGGGTTGCGGCTTTAGGGTTTAGGGCTTAGGGCTGTTGTGAGCACTTGTTTGTGAGCTCCGAGCTTTCGACTTTCCGTCTAGAGTCGATATGTTTGTCAAGGGTTGGCGCCGTTGGCGCGGATTGGAGATGTGAAACTGTAAACTGTATGGAGCTGATCAACTTTTGTATCTTAAAGTTATGGGATTCTTTGGGTGGGTCAGCGTTATATCAGAACTGTAAGAACAAGTTTCTTACAGTACTGCTCGATCCGGAGCTGCTGAACCCTAGGCCCTAAACCCTTGAACCACTAAACCCCTAAACCCGCAAACCCTAAACCCGTAAACCCCTAACCCCTAAACCCTTAAACCCTACACCCCTAACCCTGAACCCCAACTTCTCCAACCTCCTCAGGCGCCCCACATCGTCCACCACGTCTACGGCGCCGGGCAGCGCGTGATGCAGCATGCCTACGGTGCCTGGGCTGCCTGGGTTCTTCTTGAGGGTGTAGGGGTTCAGGGTTTCCGGGTTGAGGGTTGAGGCGTTCAGGGCTTAGGGTTTAGGGTTAAGGGCATTAGGGTTCAGCGTGAGGGTTTAGGGGTTTAGGGGATTGGGGTGTAGGGTTTAGGGTTACTTCATTGAAGTTAGGAGAATAGGGATCTATAGTACATAGTATGGGGTTCCGTTCTGTGGCAATTTGAATGAAACTTCTGAAGAAGAGCCGAGGTGCTGGAAGCTCTGTGGCGCACCACGTCTACGGTGCCGGAAGCAGCATGATGAACCACGTCTACGGTGCTGGAAGCCACGTGGTGCACCATGTCTACGGTACTGGGCAGCTTGGCTCAAGTTGTATGGCTGACTATCAATGTTCTTTTTGTTCGTGTTCGTGTGCGGTTAGGCACAGCGCGTCAGAAGGAGGGTATAGAACTTATTGTCATCACAAAACTCAAGTTAAACTAGCTCTTAAAGGTGTGCCAGTCAGCCAGGACTGGGGGAAAAGTCGTTGTTGGCAGGTGCCAGCGCCAGTTTCGAAGCAACCAAATCTGTCATCCAGGATTAGAGTAGAATCGTTGTTGGGAGTTGTTGGCGCCCTTTTGAAGCAACCAAACCTCTCAACCAGGATTGGGGCAAAGTCGTTGTTGGGAGGGGCGGGTGCTATTTTAAAGCCACCAAACCTGTCAGCCAGGATTGGGGTAAAATCTAAAGTCGTTGTTGGGAAGTGCTGGCGCTATTGAACCAACCAAACATGCCAGCCAGGATCGGGGTAAAGCCGTTGTTGGGAGGTGCCGGCGCTATTTGGATGCAACCAAACCTGTCAGCAAGGATTGGGGTAAAGTGGTTGTTGTGAGGTACTGGCGCCATGTTGAGGCAACCAAGCCTGTCGACCAGGATTCGGGCAGAGTCGTTGTTGGGGGGTGCTGGTGCCATTTTGAAGCAACCAAACCTGTCAGCCAAGATTGGGGCAAAGTCGTTGTTGCGGATGTTGCAAAGCTCAATGTCTTGTATTTCTCTCAATTCTAAACTTGGTACATCTCCCAACCCTAAGCCATGCGGGTGCCGTGTCGGACTGTTTTTTCATGAAGGTAGTACACGGCTCCTATTCAACTACTTGGTATAAGATATATACAATGTATACTCGCAAAAACATGCTACTAGCTACTACGCAACAGAACCTGTCAGGGCAGATATCGCTACAAGATAGCAGAACACAGAAGAATGCGGCCAAAGCTAAGCCAGAAAGCACAACCATGCGCGATGTTTCTGCGAGTAGGTATATAGTACTTCATGTGTAGCATGTGCCTTTTTCAAGATTTCAGCATGCGGCGCACGTTCATTGTATACATGAGAGTATGTGCATCCGCGTCTTTACCTATGTCTCATCACAACACATCACTTAATGCAGCTAAACTCGCAGACAACAACAAAGAAAAGCGAGTAACATAGTTCAGCACTCAATCTCTACAGTGTTTACAAGCGACTGCAAGAAAGCAGCATGGCTGCAGCAAGGCGTGCATAAATTGCAAATCAGGCGTAAACCAGTGACGACTACTGTATCATCGCAGGCTCAGTTATGACAGAGTCATTCTGGAGAATGCAGTGCCTGTAATTTTCAATATTGAGTGCCATAAAATCGTGATATCTGTAGGGCAAATCCCTACAATTCTGCTCGAATCAGGATAGTGAGTGGCGCTGCGTCGTGACTTTAGGTTATCGGCAACTAAAATGCATCATAGTGCATCAGAATGGAATACTGCCCAGCAGGAGATTGCCATGCTGTTGAACAGGGAGGGACAGAATCTAATTTGTTTTGCTTAGCAGAACAAGGAAATTCACGGCAGAACCATGTAGCTCACCATGGCGGGTGCTTCGAAGCAAGCAGCCTAAACGTATCATACATGCTTAGGCTGCTGCCAACACAGATGAATTAGGCTTCCTTACCACAAGCTCGCCAGCAACCAACACACCTTAGAAGGACGACTCCAACCACCCTTGGACAATGATAAGCTCCTGTTCTGCTTTTCAAGGCTCGAGTATAAAACCCTTCAAGCCGTACACCTTCGCCCTAGCAGCTCGCAGCCCTGCAGCTTCCAAAAAGGTACGGGCAAGCCTACCAGACCTCCCAACTCCATGGAAACTCTCTTGCCGGGGGCTTCAGATTTCATGGGTTCAACATATGTGTTTAGGGTCTACATTAGGGATCCGGGATGCTGCGGCATGTTTCTATCCGGGAAATAATTTAGTATTAGTTAGTTGGGTTCAGGGCTTGCGGCCCAGGGTCTAGTAGGGTTTATTCTCCGAGTAGTGTAATACACACTGCTGCGGCTCCCGCTGTGGTGGATGCATACTCCCACTTGAATATATTGACCTCATCTGGGCTTGCGGATGTCTGAATCGCGCCAGTTTCGGAATCCCGCCAGTGTACGCGGAAATTCATTTGAGCCCCAAGCCCTAGACCCTGAACCGTAAACCCCTAAACCGCTCAACCTTAAACCCTAAAGCGGAAAACCCTGAACCCCTAAACCCTACACCCCTAAACCCCTAATTAACCCTAAACCTTAAACCCTTAAACCCCTAAACCTTAAGCCCTAAAACGGTAAAACCCTGAACCCCTAAACCCTACACCCCTAAACCCCTAATTAACCCTAAACCTTCCCCTAAACCTTGATCCCTAAACGGTAAAACCCTAAACCCCTAAACCCTACACCCTTAAACCCCTAATTAACCCTAAACCTTAAACCCTTAAGCCCCTAAACCTTAATCCCTAAACCGTAAAACCCTAAACCCCTAAACCCTACACCCTTAAACCCCTAATTCACCCTAAACCTTGAACCCTTAAAAAGCTCAACCCTACACCCCTAAGCCCCTAATTAACCTAAACCTTAAACCCTTAAACCCCTAAACTCCTAATTAGCCCTAAACCTTAAACCCTTAAACCCCTAATTTCCTAATTAGCCCTAAACCTTAAACCCTTAAACCCCTAAACCCCACGGGTGTCTCTTGGTGGCATCCTGCTGGTCTCCTTGTGGTCTTCTGGCGGTGGTGGTCGTAGCCGTGGTCGTCTTAATCTTCTTGGGTTTAGCGTTTAGGGGTTGGGGGGTTTAGAGGTTTGGGGTGTGGGATTTAGCGGCCGTCGTTGGGGCTTTATCTGTTCGGGGATCTATGCTGGCACTAGTTTTGTGTACAGTGGATTTTTTCGTGATGGTGACTACTACTGACGGTTCTTACCGCTGCCATTACCTGCGAAGAGGGAGTCAGCTCAAATGCGCCGGAGCGGCCGCCGTTCGTTGAAGAGTATTTCTTAGACTATAATAGACGGTTTCTTGATTTTCCCTGAACGGTTAGTATTTTGGGACTGGGGGACTGGTCTGAAGCTAGAATGCCACTTGGGCTTTCAAGCTTGCTACTGACGCTAGGATGCTGGACACTTCATTATTGTCCCTTTTCAGGAGGGCACACCCGGCCTTTTGGGGTTTAGGGCTCGGGGTTTAGTATTGTCGGGTTCGGGGCGCTCAGGGTTTGCTCACGCCGTCGACCAAAGACTTGAGCATGTTTTTGTTGGAGCGACTTGTTCCGGTTTCGGGTTTCGGAGTCTTTAACTTTATCTTTGATGCTCAGCCCTCATGCAGAAAACCTGAAAAACAGCCTTGATCAACGATTTTCTTGTCTTGGACATCCCATGCCCAAACCGTTACACCCTCAACCCGCGACCTTAAACCCTGAACCCTTAACCCCCAAACCGCTAGACCCGAAACCACCCCTTGAGGTGCAGGGTGCACCCGCTCATGTCGTCTCCAAGGCCCTGTTCTCCTCAGCTTAGTAGGTTCGGCGGGACGTAGGTTTGGTTTAGTGGGTGGAGGGTCTAGGGTTCAGGCTCCACATGGTAGGTTCAGCAGGTAGTGGGTTCAGGGTCTAGGTTTTGGTGGGTGTTGGTTTTGGGGTCTAGGGTTTAGAGCTGGTGGAAGAACCAGCAGCAGCAGTAGCGTTGACAACAAACGGCAATGGCAGTCATGATAAGGAGAACAACAGCAATGTCATTCGTACCAGCAGCAGATAGCAGCAATGATATTTTGTTAGACCACAAGCAGTGAGTGGGGGAGTACGGCTGGCGCCCCGGACATGCACGGCCGTGTGGTGCGAGCAGGGTTTCCTTGCGTAGACTTTTAGCAACAACAAGCCGCCAAGCCTTGTGCAGAGCCTTACAACAGTCTTGTCTGATGCCCTGTAGAATACTATCAGAAACCCTGTATACGAAGCCATATGAGACCCCGTATAAAATTCTCTATGAGACCCATGTGAAACGCCTTTCACAAACTTGCACGGACCTCTGTAGACTCTAAAAACACCGTTGGCTCACAGTCGACAGCCCTATTTTCATTTCTACTTTGTTTCCGTAACCACTCAACACGACAAGCTTCTATGCACAGCCCCGCTTTCAAGTTCCTACATGGAGCCCTATCCTCCCAAGCCCCAAAGGCCCAAGATTATCACGCCCTTGAATGCTACGGCTTGTATGTCAAGCCTGTAGAGCCTTAAAGCCCTATACAGCTCCAAAGCCCCCAAAGAGCCGCTGGAAGGTGTATGGTCCTGAAGATTCGAAGGAAGTCCGGCACCCAGAGTCTCCTTTCTGTTTTAGGGTTTAGAGTTTAGCATTTCTGTCAGGGTTCTAAAAGGCTCAGAGGGTTCTGCAAGTTCAAGCGCTTCTTTGAGGCTTCTATTGGGTTTCAAAAGTTGTGGGGTTGTGTAGACATTTACAAGAGTTGCTTCGGGTTCTGAATAATTAGAAATGCCGTCAAACTAGTCCCCTACATTCGACCCCGGAACCTTGTGGGGTTTATGGTTTGGGTTTAGGGTTAGGGTTGTTAGCTTAAATTTTAGGGTTTTGGGGTTGAGAGTTTAGCATATGAGGTTCTAGAGTTTCAGTTTAAGGCTTCTGGTTTTGGGATGAACCGCAGGAGTGCTATCTAGGTGGAAGAAGTGGGATTGTCCGAGCAAATGACATAGTCTAGTTAAGCGAGTAACAGATTCGTTTATTGCGGTTCATTCCACAGCCAGCACGTAACGACTGGCAACTGGCAGAATGGCAATCATAAGCCCACTTGTGATCGAGAGAGTCCTAGTCATCAACAGCAGTTGTACTATTTCCATCTCTCCTACCTTTACGAACAAGGTGCTGCACGGTTAATCTGCTGAGCCAGCTAGTTGTAGACACACGCCCCGCGCGGCAAGAAACCATGAGGGGGAAACGACGGCAGCGTAAAGAAGCAAGACCAAGAAACATTTTTAATCGTACGCTTCTTACCAAGTCTGTAGAAGTTTTTTCTTCTCCCGCTAACATGCATTCACAATCACCGCGATCACGAGTATGGGTCACATTGCCAGCATCTACTATGCATCTTGTATTCGTTCTGTTGTTGCAGTTGATATCGTTTTGTGCATCAGCAAAAGCAAAAAGCACTGACCAAGCGAAACACGGCCTAGATTCACCATTATCTCAACCATCATCAGCGGCACCAGCATGGGCATCAGCAACAGCATTGGCATCAGCATCATTATCGCATCGTCATCATCATCATCATCATCACCAACATCATCATCATAATCATCATCATCATCATCACCATCATCATCATCATCACCATCATCATCCTCATCTTCACCACCAGCATCAGCATCAGCATCAGCATCAGCATCAGCGTCAGCATCATCGTCATCGCCATCATCATCCTCATGACCCTCCTCCTCGTCATTACCATAACCACCAGCATCGGCATCATCTTCATCGTCATCCTCGTCATCCTTATCCTCCTCCTCGTCATCGTCATCATTACGTTTCATCTTCATGCGTAGCAGCGCCGGCCTCGTCGATACCGGCGTCGTAGTGGTAGCCGTAGCCCTAGTAGTTTCAGTCAAGAGAAGAAGGTTGAGTAGTAGTAGCAGCAGCAGTAGTAGTAGCAGCAGCCGTAGCAGGAGGCGTCGTCGTAGAAGCCGGCGCAGTAGCAGCAGTAGCAGTGGAAGAACTTGCGAGGGTGGCATTGTTGTTGGTGGTGGTTAGAAGTAGTAGTCCCAGTAGCAGTAGTAGTAGCAGGAGTGGTAGCAGGAGTGGTTGCAGTAGTAGTAGTAGTAGTAGTAGTAGTAGTAGTAGTAGTAGTAGTAGTAGTAGAAGTAGTAGAAGTAGTAGAAGTAGTAGAAGTAGTAGAAGTAGTAGAAGTAGTAGAAGTAGTAGAAGTAGTAGTAGTAGTAGTAGTAGTAGTAGTAGTAGTAGTAGTAGTAGTAGTAGTAGTAGTAGTAGTAGTAGTAGAAGGAGTAGAAGTAGTAGTAGTAGTAGTAGTAGTAGTAGTAGCAGCAGGAGTAGTAGTAGGAGGAGTAGGAGGAGGAGTAGGAGCAGGAGCAGGAGCAGGAGCAGGAGTAGGAATAGGAGTATGAGTAGGAGTAGTAGGAGTGGGAGTTGGAGTAGGAGTAGGGGTTGGGGTACTAGGAGTAGTAGTAGTCGTCGTCGTCGCAGAAGCAGCACGGGCAGTTGTAAGAACAGTCGTCGGCAAAATATACAGGGCTTTATTGACGACCACTTTGACAGCAAGACCTTCTCGGCAAAACACCCAGAATCAACAGTCGCATCTGTGGTGTCAGCTGTGGTTCTTGTTTGTTGTGCTGGTTGATTGATAACTATTGCTGTAGCAATCACAACGCACAACAGTGTTGTGACTTGTTTTACACACAGCAAAGTGTCATAAAGATTCTGACTTCAGTGCAACTACTTGGCCACCCTCCGCGACCTCACATTCGATTACAAAACCCTAGGCTCTGCCTGATACCAGCCGGGAATCCTACCTTGTAGCCGAAATTACACCTGAACCCTAGGATCCTATCTTTAACCATCTTTAACCGCAAGCATGCTCCCAGATCCACGTCGTCTCCGGACACCACGCAGCTCCGTTGCAAAGAGCAGCAGGATGTCGAACATTTACTATAGGGCCCCGAATGCGTGATCGAAGTATGCCTCTGCAGTCCCTATGTAGCGTAGATTTCTTGTAGGATCTTGGATGATCATGGTCCTCAGTAACAATGTTTGTGCTTTCGTTCGCGTCATCCCTAAACCCTAAGCCCCAAGCCCTAGACCCGTAAATTGCCATAAACCCTAAGCCCTAAACCTACAGCCTACAGCCTGAAGCGTAAATCCTATGTCTTAGACAAGGCTTCTTTTGAGTCTGGAGACGAATCACGGTCGTCACGGTTTGTGAAGTTTAAGATAGGTGGAGCATTTAGAGATCCCCGAAAGCCCAAGACCCTAAGCCCTAAATCCTAAATCTTCTTTCTTACTGTGTAGGCCTCAATGAGGCAGGCCGACGCTGCACAACAGAAAAGGCCGCTGCACCTTAAAAAAACATCCTAAATCTTCGCTGAGGCTCGGCAAGCATGATGCCTGAACCCGAACGCAAGGGTTTTGGGTATAGTGTATCGGAATAATTGCCAATCGAATTTCCTTTTCGCCCTATTTGTCCATCTACCCGTCTGTCTTTCTATATATATATATATATGTATATATATATATATATATATATATATATATATATATATCTATATCTATATCTATATCTATATCTATATCTATATCTATATCTATATCTATATCTATATCTATATATCTATATCTAAATATCTATATATCTTTATCTATCTATCTATCTATCTATCTATATATATATATATATGTACCTATATCTACATATATATATATATATATATATACACATATCTATGTATCTATATATATATACACAAAATACATTGTATATCTGTATCTATATATCTATCTATATATATATATATATATATATCTGTATACCTATGTATATATATATATATCTATACCTATATATCTATATATCTATATATATATATATATATATATATGCTATATATATATATGTTTCTTAAACAATTATATGTACTATAAGTTAGCCACGAGCCCCATTCTGGCTATTAACGCCCCTATAGTCGGCAGAAGAAGCTGGACTCCACGAAATCCTTAAACCGAGCCAGGGCTACCACATCGTCGATGGAGGTCGAATCAACGATGCGACTATGGCCTGTTGAAATCGTTGTGTTACTCGGGCTTAGGGATTGGGGCTTTTGAGGCCTAAATAACTGCCCATACTATTTTGGGGGTTCCTCATTATGATTATAGTATAATGGGGCCCAAACCGTTATTCTAATTATTATTGACGCCTCTGTATTAGGGCTTGGCGTTTAGGGTCTACCAGAACAGTGTTGTTTTTGGCTTGCGGTTCTCGTGATGTTCTTTTTTGATAGTGGTCTGTGTCACAACATCTGGAAATCTGCAGGTTACGCTACTTAAGGTCATGAAGGACTTAGTCCATCAGCAGCCTGCCCATGGACCGAAGCACACTGACAGCCAATCCCAAAACTGTTTAAGGTTTAGGGGAACTGAAACCTTCAGGCTTGAACTCCAAGCCCTGCCTCCCATACCGAAATTCCCGAATGCTCTGCGGCCAGTTCGGACGAGATCCCGAGCACTTCACCACGCATCACACCCACGTCATTGCGTGTCAGCTGCAGTAGCAATGTTTCTTTTGTGAAATCTCTTGTCTTTAGTAGCCTTGCGTCTATTATTGTTATGCCGCATGTGTTCATGTTAAGTTGCTGAGTCCTGTTCTTCTCACCTCTCCGAAACTAAAACTACAACCGTGTTGTGCTTTGTTGAAACCGGTAGAATACGGTAGAATCATGAAAGCTACCACTATTACAATTGCTGATTCAATAGCTGTCCTTTTTACTTCAATCTCCACAGACTTGTTGCAAGTTAGGCAGGTGCCAAAGAAGTAGTCTTCACAGACGTTGTCATCCTGGCAGCAATACGGTAGCAGCTGGTGGTGGCAGCCGTAGCAGTAGTAGCATTAGTAGCAGTAGTAGTAGCAGCAGTAGTAGTAGTAGTAGTAGTAGTAGCAGCAGCAGTAGCAGTAGTAGTAGTAGTCGTCGTCGTCGTCGGCGTCGTGGCCGTGGTGGTAGTAGTGGTAGTAGTAGAGAGGAGCAGTAGCAGTAGCAGTTGCAGTAGCAGTAGCAGTAGCAGTAGTAGTCGTCGTCGTCGCGCAGTCTTAGTCGTAGAGTCGTAGCCGTAGTCGTAGTCGTAGCCGTAGTCGCAAAACTAGTCGTAGTGGTCGTCGTGGTCGTCGCAGTAGTAGTAGTAGTAGTAGTCGTCGTCGTAGTAGTAGTACAAGTAGTAGGAGGAGGAGTTGTTGTTGTCGTGCCGCCAGTGGTGGCACTGTAGGCTTTAACAATTACTAGACCTCTGCTGCTGTTGCTGCTGGCAATTATTTTCGTGATCGCTTCGACAGTTGGGCCAGTTCTTCAGATTTCGCAGACTACCAGCCTCATGTTTGGTAAATAACCTCTTGATGTTTCGAAGTTAGCCAACGGTGCCACAAACAAAATTCGTCACAGAGTGAAGTCTATGTGTCTTACGAAACGCAATAGAGATTTTTCAGGTCCACCACCACTACGGCGGCCATCCCGACGCCACCTGCTTGCAGCTGGAGTAAAGTCGTCTAGCGAGATTCCAGCCCTGAAGGCAGCAGAATCCCGTATTACCTGGACCAAATGTATGCCCTAGATCCTGTCCTGAAGCCCGACACCCGGAGAAGTGCTGATGCAAACAACACCAGAACCGTCGTGCCCTCCGTTCAGGGTCGACGGTTTGATTTTTGCCGCTCCACTATTTGTTCTGGTGTCGTACTTATAGCAACCATGTAGCTTGGGACAGATTGGGCCATCCTTCGCCACTCCAAGTTGCGACAGTAAGCAGTGCTACAAAACAGGCTGTAGTACGGATGGCCCATAGCAGTCATTCAAGGAAATGCTTTGCCATGGTCGCCAGACAGGACAAAACGTCAAGGGTCGAAACGTCGCTCTCTGGTGAGTCTCATGGCCAAAGCAGATCGCAAGCAGGTAAACTGGCAAAACAGTTGCAATAAGCATCATTTCGAAAGTACAACAAGTAGAACTGCTGCTGCCGCTGCTGCTGCCGCTACGACTACCAAACTACCACTACCGCGACGACGACGGTTGCTACTACCACTGCCATTGCTACTATTTTTGTTACTGGTCCAAGCCCGATTCATGAACTTTTGGCGTTTCTCTCAACCAATATTCTTCCAACTTGGGTTAGTCTTCCAACTTCGGTTGCTGCTACTACTGTTAGGGTTTAGGGTTCAGGGTTTTACGGCTTGGGGCTCAGGGAATACGCTACGGCAAGTTGGAATCTTTCGGACAAATTGGAAAGAATCTTTTTGCGACCTATCATTATTACTACTACTGCTGCTGCCAGATAAAATGCTGCCAGACAACCCAGAGAGCGCAGTAGTACTCCTTAATTCACCAACATGCGTGAAGTTATGGCTTCCCTAGTCTTGTGCGGGGGAATTGGGCTCTTTGGGAACGAGGAAACCTACTACGTTCACCCTGGCAGCCATCATTTCATGGAGCACTTCGCTGTCACTCGGCTCGAGATTCTCGCTGAAAGGTTCAGTCCCGAGGTTTAAAGTTAGGCTTTGACGGTCGAAGTTGAGGGTAGATAACCTGCAATATAGTTATACTAAACTAAGCTAGAATACAGCCCACAATGTCATTCCCCATACTGGATTGCGTGGAGTGGCTGCGACCGACATTCACCAATTCAGGCTGAGCCCTTAAACTGGTTTGTTGTTTGCTCCCTTGTGCTCTGTCTCATGCGGATTGGGGCGGATTGGGGAAGGCATTAGATACCCGAAACCCCAAACGATGTCAACCTTGTGTTAACCCTGGGTCACATGAAGGCAAAGATGCGCGAAAACCAGGATGCTGTTTATGCTCCTCTGCTCTGTAGTAGTTCGTTTTCTTGCATAAGCGGTAAACATAACTCCTTCAAAGCTCATCACATCTGCAGCTTGCACCCGCGAACCACCACCTTGACCCACCGAGTATACCTTGGGGAAAGGTTCTCTGAGTGGTGCTCATCGTTTCTAGTATCCTAAATTTGGACTGAGGCAAATTGAAACGGCACAAGGTTCTCAGGGAAACCAGGTAGCCACGGAAAGCGAGAGACGCATCAGCCGTCGTCATCCTGCACACTTTCTGCCCGACACGTCTCTTGGCCTGCTGACTTTCTGATTGCGCCTACAGAAGGTGTGCCACCAAGCGCTCACCATCGCTTGGAAATGCTGAGACTGTCACAACGTAAGGCGCCGCTCCAACCTGTGAACCCTCTAAATGTCTACATTTAGGGTTGAGGGTGTTTCGAATCAGTGCTGCGAGGCTTGCTGCGTGCTTCGAAACTTGTTTGTGCCCTACCCACGAGCTGTTGACAGTGCATTCAGCAACAGCTCGCACACAGCTGGCCGGGTGTGGGGCGCGTGCCGCAGAGAGTTCTCTCTCAGGGTCCCTTGAGGCCAACGTGCCGGGCACGGCGGCACATGACAGTGAGGCGATGCGCTAACGCGCTCACTGGGGGACTTCTACGGAGGTCGGACTTAGAGGTTGCCTCGTCGTCTCCGGGCACCTGTACAGGGGAGGCCACTCGGGAATCAATTCCACTCCATGCTCGGGTTTAGGGTTTCAGGGTTGAGGGTTTGGGGTTTCCAATCAAGTTCACTCCA